CAGCAATAAGAGCACTAGTAGAAGAATTAGAAAAAGAGTAGAATAGTGAAGGATAGGCTCCCTCAAGGGGGAACAAGCGGACTTCTGTACTTCTTTGTACTTCTTCGTACTTTTTGGTACTTTTTCGTACTTCTTCGTACTTTTTCGTACTTTTTCGTACTTCTTGGTACTTCTTGGTACCCATGAAAAAAAAATTTGTAAAAATTTGCGTTTCAACGCATTTTTTCTAGTTCACATGTTTTCACTAGACTTTGAACGCAGTTTTTAAAACGCATTGAAACGCATCATTTAGTAATTGAAACGGATATGTATCGAATAAAACGCGTTTCTAAAAATGCATTTGAATGCGTTTAAATGGCATATTATTGTTACAAAAGAACGTATAAGAGCGATTCCCTGTGAATCATTTTGAACGTATCCTATTTACAGCTAATTTTCTAGTAATGATGGACATATATGTATGTAATCTATGTATATCTACTCCTTTAGAAGTTAGCAAGAATTGTACTTGTGTTTCTTCCTCTAAAAGTCTGTTTTTACACATTTACAGAATAATATATGTAAAAAAATGACTTCTAGAGGAAGAAACACAGGTACAATTCTTGCTAACTTCTAAAGGAGTAGATATACATAGATTAGATAAATATATATATCCATCATTACTAGAAAATTATCTGTAAATAGTATACTTTCAATTTGATTAAGAGGAGATCGCTCAAACATGAACTCTTATTAGATTGCAACAATTAGTCAGATCTAACTGGAGTTTGTTTGGTAATTTTCACTTCTCGGAAGGATAGATAGGGTTAACTAGGGACAAACGAAAAGAAGGATATGGTTCGAGTAAAATAAACGAAAGAGAAGATATGCTTAGAGTTTAAAAAAGCGAAAAGTAGTGTATGTTTAGGGTAAAATAAGCAAAGAATACAGTAAGGTCGGATCGAAGAAAAGCTTCATATGCAGAAAAAGAAGATGGAAAAAATAATCTTGTAAAAACCTAATTCGAACTAAAAGTACAGAATCTGGCGATTATATACACAAATGGACCAATACTAAAACAGTACTCATATTGAAGAAAATTTATAAATTTTTTGCTTTTTTACATGTAGATCCAAAATTGCTTTTGAATAAAACAGAATTATATTTGAAAAATATATGTTATTAGCTATATTTTGAGTACCATCTATCAAAGAATTTTGTTTTTTTTCAAAAAATAATTCAGACTCACCCAGAAAGACCTCTCAATTTATAATAGAAAAAAGAAGAATTTTTGTAATAAGAAAGTTTATTCAATGATATTCCGTGTATGTCAAATTACATCAGCTGCAACTATTGTTTAATAACAATGGACTTTTTTGAATTACGAGATCACATAGAAGAGAAGAATAGAAAATGATAGAAAATATCACACTTCGCACAAGAGTTATCATTACAATTTTAATCACTAAGGGAAAGGAACTAACATATTCCAAACACTGATTATGTAACTCTCGAAAGACTTCTAAACGTACTACAATTATTCAAATTTTCATTGGAGAACAAAGCAGCTAGCGTTTCTGAACGGCCTATAAAAGTAGTGAATATTGAAAAGAAATAGAAACTTTTATTTCTTTGAAAGAACATTCGAAAAGGTATAAATATATAAATACTATTCCTTTTATTCTATTTTGATCGAGCTGAGTTTGGCGAAAAATTATCAGTATACAATAAATTCACAACAAAAGGTATTACATTTACAACCTTAAATTATTCCAAATTGACACAATTTCAAGACTACCGGTCTTTATAGACGTAGAAATGTACATTATTTTGATCTCACTAGTAAAATTACATTAATAACGACGTCAAATAATTTATTGTTACAAATTCAGTCCTTATGTAACACTAGAAAAGATGAAATATTGCTGAATTTTATTACAAAAAAAGTTTTGTGCGATAATGTTGAATTTGAGGCAATTGATTTTGATCATCATATTCATGTTAATGTAAATGATATGAATATGGAAATGTATGCTACTATTAATTTGAAAATTTTTATTTTATTCGGTATCTAACGTTAAGTGAGCCTAGTTTGAGAACACGTTACTACTTATCTTGAATTGTTGGCTTTTCTTTTGTATAAAATACATGCTGTCTTTTTCAACATTATTCGAGTATATTTTTTATCTTATTATATCACAGAGTCGTTCTGAACAGTTATACCTTTTAACTTACATATGTTGACATTCATGTCACCCAACATTTATTCTAGTTAACATAGATCTCTATTGTATATAAGAGCCAGTCCACATAAGCCACGACCGATTACTATAGGACCTGCTCAATCGATATCCTCCAATTCGACTCATTTTAACATATGTGATAGAGGCAAGAGTTTGATGAATTTTGGCGAATATTTTCCAGTGTGGAGATATGAGCTACCAAAGTAGGTCAAAATAGTGATTTTTTTCTCCAATAGTGAATCCCATAAAAAACCAAGGACTTAAGCCTTCAAGCTAAAATTATTTTTATGTGTAGAAATTGTTGGTGTATAGAACTACAAAAAATTTCAGCTCGATTGGTTGAGTCGTTCTTGAGATATAATGTGCTTAAAATCCTTTGCCGATGATTGTGGAGCTTTATAATGCTCTTCGTAAAAATTCGACAAAAAATCGAGAGTTCAATATTTTTTGAATCGGCTTTCGCCAAAATTCATCAAACTCTTGCCTCTATCACTTATGTTTAAAGGAGCTAAATCGGAGGATACCGATTGAGCACTAACGATCGTGGCTTACGTGGACTGGCTCATAAGCACACCTGTTCTAGAACCACATGCATGCAAACATTCGTTCAAACTCTTTTCTAAACTATTCATTTTTTCAAGAAAAAAACGCATCAAAGAGAACAACGTTGTAACGCGTTTCAAAAAACACTTGTTTTTCAATAGAAGAAGGCTAAAAACTCATTTGAATGCATAGCGAACAAACGCGTCCAAACGCATAAAACTAAATGCATTCAAACAGTGTCTTTAAGTTGCGTTTTAATTTGAAAAAACGCGTTCAAAAGATAAAAGATGCGTTTAGCGCGTTGAACTTAAAAAGGATGCGCTGAAACGCAAAAATAGCGCTTTTTTTCCAAAAGTTTGCGTTGGAACGCATTTTTATACAAATTATTTTTCATGGGTACTTCTTCACAAATATCAAAAACTCTGTTCTACAAAAACAGAACAAAAATGTTCTGTTTTTTTGGAACAGAATTTTTGATATATCCCAATAACAGAACACTTTTGTACTGTTTTCGGAAAAAATCGAGGAAGAAAGCGTGTACTTCTCTGTACTTCTTGTACTTCTTCGTACTTTTTTGTACTTCTTCGTACTTTTTCGTACTTTTTCGTACTTCTTGGTACTTCTTGGTACTTCTTCGTACTTCTCTGTACTTCGCTGTACTTTTCCGTACTTTTGCACTTCGGAAGTACAGAAGTCCGCTTGTTCCCCCTTGGGCTCCCTCCCCCTCCGCCCCCACCCCCTCCCCCATTTTTTGTTTTATATTATAGATTAATCGATAAGAACTGACAAGAACGAAGGACCCAGCCGATTTTTTTTTAGTTCTTCGCTTTGTTTTTCTTGTTTTTTCTTTTGTTGTTTTTTCGTTTTGCATCTACTGTTGTTTATAAACTGTGTAATTTTTTATATATTGTGATAGGGGTTAAGTTTCCCATTGTGTAAGTCCCTTCCCCGCACCCACACCATCGAGATTGCCTTGGGAGATAGAAGAGACTAAGAATGGACTAAGAATATATAGAAATAATAGAAAGAGAATGACATCTATCCCCCTGCAATGAGAATAGTAGCCCCCGTTAAGAAAGGAAAGAATTCCTATTGGACGAGAATAGAAGAAAGAAACAATTCCCATTAGACGAGAGTAGAAGAAAGGAACGAGAGTAGGATAAAAGGAAAGGAAAGAGAAGTAGATAGTCATTCATCGCCTGAAGAAAATTCGAAACGTGTCGCTCAACAATTTGTTATATTACACGTATCGTATAATTTTTGTTAAACTAGAAATAAAATAATTCAAAAAAAACTAAAGAAACTTATTTAATTCAAAAAAAACTTACTCTCGTTCAATCACTTTTTTCTTCCACAAAAAAAGTCTTATTTCTTTCTTGTTTTTTCCAAAACAAATTTCACTCCAAAATCAAATTTAATTTTTCTCTTATTTCACAAAAAAACTTAAATGCTTTCTTGTTTTCATAAAACAAACCCCTAAATCGAAGCTTATTTCTTATTTCGATAGACAACAAAATTTACACAAAAAAACTTCAATTCTTTCTTGTTTCATAAAACAAAACCCGAAATGAAAGCTTGTCTCTTATTTCAATATACAATAAAATTTATACAAAAAATTTATTCATATTTTTTCTCTTATTCTAAAAACTATACAACTATTCCATAAGGCAAATCCATTTGTTCTTATTCAATAATTTTTCTGTGCATTACTCAAATCAATATTTATTTATTCTCTTACTCAATTTTCTTAGAAAATCAAGCATAACTTTTCATTCTTAAAAAATATTTTATATCTTGGTTTTTCCAACTATTACAAAACTAGAATATTTCCTTTACATTTTTTCGGATACATAAAAAACACTAAAAAATAATTTCAAAACTTAGAAATATACAAAAAAAACTAAAATAAATTAAGAAATAAAAACAAAAAAACAAAGTTCATTTATTTATTCATATACATATATATATATTTATTTATTTGTTACTTGTTCGGGCTTTGCAATATTTCTTTACACCATTGTTAATTCGCTTTAAAATTATATCCACATCCACATCCATATCATCCACTAACGAATACAAAGATATGTTTTATACAACATGCAAGATGAAAAGAAAAATTTTTTTTTAACTTTTTATTTTTTCGATAACTTTTTTTTTCGTTAATCATTGTTTACCCTATTTACGACCATTTTTTTGCACCAGAAATCTATTAATAGAATGTATATGATATTTTCCTCATTTATATCTACTGACTTGTTTACGTTTATCTTCATATTCACGCTGGTCATCTTTATAATCTTCGTTCATTGGAACAGTGTCAGCCACGGCATTTGAATTTGCTGTTGATGCACTATTCATCATCAGCATTTTATTATTCTATTTAGAAAAAGTTTTAAATGAATTTTTTTTGTTGTTTTTCTCTTACTGTTTCATCGTCTTCAGAAGATCTCATTTTTTCACTTTCAGAACCAGTCTCATCATATACTACCATTACAACATTGCCCTTCAAGATCTCTATAAAGAATATATTCAAATTTAATAATTAAACAAATTAAGTTTACTATTTTTTTTCCTTTGTCTTCCCAGGTCTATGGATACGGCTATCGGTATTTTCACCGTAAATTTGCTTCATACGACACCGTAAACGGATCGTATTTTCTCGTAATCATGGGCACAGTAATACGGCACCGTATACGAGGCCGTATTTTCACAGTATACGGGGAGTAATCTCATTATGATAAGGCCGTATTTCTGTGCCCGATATTACAGCCGTATAAGGTCCGTTTATGCGTGGTAAGGTAACCGTAAACGGTCGTTTACGGACCGTATCGCTGGACCTGGGTTTCCGAACAACTGCTTCACTCGCTTTTTCCACCACCATTTGAAGATTGTTTTCAGTAGCAGCAATGTCTTGTTGTAAGCTTCTTATTTCATCACTTATTTCCAATATCATTTCAACTTTTGCTGCATACTGTGCTTTCAGTTTGTTAAGTTCATTACGATAAAAATTTTCATCAACTTGTTGGGGTTTATTGGCGTTGTTCATTGTCAGTAGAATGGACGAAAGTGAAGAAAATCAGTTATATATATAGTACTACCTCAACAAAGATACTATCGAGGGGACCAAACAGAAAATTCTAGAACAAAAAGTCTAGAAGATGCATAGCGAGTGAAAGGAGAAGAACGTCGACAGAGAAACAATGAACAAAACGAAAAATATAATGAATAGTCGACTATAATATACATCTCTATTTCAATAAATTTTTCTAGAATATTCTTCGAAACGCATATAGTTTGCAATGATACAAATGAAATGTACCGATTGACATACGATAATAAATATGACGAATCCATTGTACTGTATGATGAGAAAAGATATTAATTCTTCTAATATGCAAACACTTCAAAAGGAAAACATTCTCAAATCAAAAATTGATCGTAACCACAAGGAATAATTGCATTAGATACCTGTTTTAGTTAGAGTCCATGATGAAAAAAAATAGGTTGAATGTATCACTATCATATGGATTAAATAAAAGTGGTCGTTTCAGGATGTCAATACTTTCGATAATATATGTATGATATTCAACAGATAATGTAGTTTTTGTTGTAATATCAATTTTATTCTCATTTGATTTTGGTAAATACATATTAAGAATTGCTGAAGAAGAAAGTGCATTAGGTGCTGATGAATCAGATTGTGATCGAATTTTTCTTGGTGATGATGGTGTAGAAAATGTTTGTTGATTAATTTGTGTTGATATTAATGAAAATAGAACAGAACGAACAGCATCTTCTTTACTCCAAATTGATTGAAGATGTGCTGGAATAAATGATGATGATGATCCAGGTGAACGATACTATTCAAAGATATTCCCTAAAAAAAAATAATTATTTACTTTCCATTTACTTGGATGGAAATTATCAACTATACGTT